ATCTTACATTCATTCTTCATTGTTGGCTTTTTATATTATATTTACTATTCATTGTTGGCTTTTTATCTTACATTCATTCTTCATTGTTGGCTTTTTATATTGCATTTACTATTCATTGTTGGCCTTTTATCTTACATTCACTCTTCATTGTTGGCTTTTTATCTTACATTCACTCTTCATTGTTGGCTTTTTATCTTACATTTACTCTTCATTGTTGGATTTTTATCTTACATTCACTCTTCATTGTTGGCTTTTTATCTTACATTCACTCTTCATTGTTGGCTTTTTTATATTATATTTACTCTTCATTGTTGGATTTTTATCTTACATTCATTCTTCATTGTTGGCTTTTTATATTACATTTATCCGAGTGAAAGTTTGCCTAACGAATATTATATATTATGAAGTATAATAAACAATGTTAAAGATTAGTTTTAATTATTAATCAAGATTGTGTGTGAATATGTGAGAAAGATGTAATATCGTTGTTGTTTTCTCGGCCGACTGTTTTACATATGGTGTTATCTTAAAATTGCTTGTTTTGAATATTTTTTTAGATTGAGTTGAATGAATTGCTGAATTTTCTTTTTTTGTATTTATATATAAATAAAATTAACTCTGTTGATTTTTTTTTATTTAATCGATAACAGCTAAGTTACGCATGTTAATGTTAGGGAAAAATATTTTGATGTTAAGCAAAACCTGCTCCATCTCGTCTTACATAAATGTTGAAATTTTGGTTGAAATTGATGCATTGTAACGAAAGTTTTTAGTGATGTCCTCTTATGAAATTTGCATTTTATTATAGATGTATGAACTTCACGCAACACAGCGCTATAAGATTTTTCTTCTTCTATACAATTGGATAGATGTGCGATAAAGGAAAACATTACTTGAAGAACTTGTTAACAATATCAATTTTAGTAAGTTGGATAAACGCCTGGAAAAAGTATATTATAAAATATACAAAATCGCATGAAGCGAAGAGTTTCTTGTTAGGTTCTATCTATTAGCCGACATTTCGAGACTTTCTGTTCTTCTATGTCAATACAATGAACTGAATGAGCCCTCATTTTTACTCACGCACAGCTTTATTTAGATCACCGGTCTTATACAGATTCTCCACAGGGAGGAAAGAAACATAGATAGAGCCCCGGTACTTCAGGCAGCACAGAAACCTACAACAGCCTCCAGGTCCGACGTATGTCCAATAGTCACACAACGCATACGTTAAGGTTAACGTATCACTGAAAAGGTGAGTGTGGAATCATACGCGTTCTCGTCTTCGCTTTCCTCAGAATGGTAGAATTGCTCGAAAAATTCCTTTGCCTAACGATTCTGTATATTTTATAATATAAAAATATTAGTATTAAGTGTGATTTATTGGTGTAAAATAGCACTATTCTTTATATTCTAAATCAATTTCTAATAATTTTCAGAAACTCTACTCTTATATATACAAAATTTAAAGATGTTTATAAATAAATATATATACTTAAAAACAATAATAACTTGATTAAATGTAAAAAATTAAATTGAAACATATATTAATATAAGTATATTGTGAAAACTCTATCTCTATCTAAAAAGATCAATAGCTTATTAATCAATTGAAATGATGAAAAAGTGGGGAAAGAAATAGAATTTTCAAAGATCTGGAAACACCGATTATCACAGGATCAATATCAGAACTCAATAAACAATTTAGCAATAAACAATTAAAAGATTTCAATACTCCATGTACTATAGTTATGGCTTATAAAGCATCGCTGTGTAGAGTTCTAAATAGAAACAGTATTATTACTTTATGTAAATCAACACTTATTTTTAAAAGAATACTACGCCATCCAGGCATTAAATAAGATTAGAAGCCGTCAAACAAAGATAATGTGATTAATGAAAACCCAAGCAACAATTTCCAAAGAATGGATTAAGAACAGGAAATAGGAAACATTGGAAATAGTGTTTTCTTTTCGAATATTTAATAATATAATTCAATAGTACGCCTTTTTAACATGCATTACATGCAATCATTACAATATAGAATAAACAATAATTTCATAAAAACATGTACAGAGATATCCATACATAAATATAAAGGTAAAAACATACCTGAATATTTTAATGATTACCTTATGATAGAATGCTGTCCAACTATGGTTAGGTGGGATAAGAGTTTCGTGACTATTGAAAACTTTTACTGCACATTGCGTGCTGCAGTAATTGGCGTACTCATTTCTCCAATTAGCGTACTGCATTGATATTTTGACATCTGGCTCCCCCTTTTATGAGAGCAAAGATGACGTGGGTGATAGACAATAAAGTACTAATGACTTTGGGGAATTGTGAAAAACGAGGGGTCAGCTGAGGAAGAGATAGGCGAGGAGAACAGACAGTCTGGAGACATCAACGGTGTGAGAGGAAGCAGCAAGTCGTCTCCGAGAGTGTGGCCGTGTGGATGATACTGGAAGAGAATGCTAGAGAAGTTTGCCCGACATGGACGGGAGCCGACTGTTGGTGAGGAAGATCATTCTGATGGCGGACATTGGAGATATATAATCCTTCATTCTACCAGCAGCTACTGGAAATAAAGTGTGTCGTGCTAAGCTGCCTCTATATAGAACTCCCTTGTTATTTAGAAGCCTTGTACTAAAACAAGGTTGTAAAGCGTCGTAACAACATATTTTGAGCAAAGTTTGTTTTCTAAAATGATAATTATATTTTTCCTATAATATATTGACTATATATATATACCAATACCTATTGATAAATATGAGTAAGCCTAAAGTGTACTTACATTTGAGCCGTCGATACTCGAAAGATCTTTTTGCGAAATAATGAACTAGTTGAAAGAGGTTTAACATTGCTGAGCCTGTTACAGTGGCCTCCAGACCAGTGGGAGCTCTAAGAGTAGGTTCCCCCGGCATTATTTGTAATTTATAGACTCATCACACTCAATTATCCACACTTCTATCTTAACTAATATTGTTTATTTATTTATTAATCAACAAGGCGCGTAATTGAAGTATTTGTACCTATTACAAAGGAAACAAACAAATTAAAACTTAGGATTAAATATTTACAAATATACATGTATTCATAGAATTTATATTAACTGATATTTGGATAAGGTTTTAAAATACGTCGTGTTTATGTTTAAACATTACATATTGAGTGAATATAGACATGGCTCTCTCTCTCTCCTCACTTATTTATCACCATTCTAGCCCAGGGTCGGCAAATATTTAGTCGGAAGAGTCAAAAATTATAATTTCAAAATTTCAAAGTTTTTAAAGAGCCACACATTTTTTTCTTACCAACAATAGCACATAACACGCATCAATAAATAATATTTGTGTATTGAACTATGTAAAGAGCTTCACATCCAAAGAGCCGCATGGGACTCGCGAGCCGCAATTTGCCGACCCCTGCTCTAGCTGATTGACCCAGTATTACCAGGGATCATATTTAGCTTGAATATTTTGTTTAATTCGGTCTGAATAACCAAAATTGATCTACGAGGGCCATCCAATAAATAAGTTTCCCTATTTTTTTTTTCTGCGAACGAAACGTTCTAAAAATATTTAGTAGTGTAAGGAATGGTCACTAGGATGCGTTGGAAGCGCGTGACCTTCAAAATCACGCTACTCGTACGCGCAAGTCCGTAGCGCTTCAGTTTCCATGGAGATACCACTGGTGAACGTGTCCACTTGCAAACTCCGTTCTGTAATTCATTTTTTCACGGCAAAAAATGAAACTGAGGTCAATATTCATCGCAATTTAGTGTCAGTGTATGGTGAAGGATGTATGAGCATCCAAATGGTTCGCCGATGGCTTCATGGTTCTTGGAAAGACGGAAAAACGTGCATGATGACGAGCGAAGCGGCAGGCCCGTTACTACTACGGACAATGCAGCCGCTGCTGCTGTTCGGAATGTGGTGGAAGCAGATCGCCGCGTCACCATTGACGAAATTATTATACGACTGCCTCCTGGAAACGAAATTTGACGTTCTTCGATTTGAACAATCATGTCAGATATTTTGAATTTTCGCAAAACTGCGCAAGATGGGTCCCGCGTTTGCTCTCGGAAAATCACAAGCAACAACGGATGGAGGCAGCCCGAGCTTTCCTGGAAATTCTTCGAAGAGATGGAGATCAACTGTTTTCCCGTATTGTCACTGTAGATGAAAGCTGGGCGCATCATTCAACTCCAAAAAAAAAACGACAAAGCATGGTGTGGAAGAAGCCTGAAGAAAGTGCACCAAAAAAGGCGGGGTCACAATCTCGTCTTTTAGGACTGTAAGGGTATTTTATTGGCTGATTACCTGCCCCCAAACACAACGGTTAACGCTGCGAGGTACTGCGAAGTCCTCACTAAACTCAGAGCTGCAATAAAACGGAAACGTCCTGGACTTTAGTCTCGGAAAGTGTTACTCGTCCATGACAATGCTCGCCCTCACGCAGCTCGAACGACCCAAACGTTGCTGGGAAACTTCAAATGGGAAATTTTCACACATCCACCTTATTCTCCGGATCTTGCCTTAAGCGACTTCCATCTTTTTCCAGCACTCAAGTTGCACCTTGGAGGCAAGCACTTTGCGAATGATGACGAAGTGCAGGCGGAGGCGAACACGGCTTGGTACAACAGTGGTATCAAAATATTGCTACAACGGTACCAAAAATGTTTGGACAGAAATGGTGATTATTTATAGAAGTAGTCTATTAGTTGTATAATGAAAATAAAATAACTGCATAATTGTAAATGATGTTGTTTATTTGTTAAAAAATAGGGAAACTTATTTATTGGATGGCCCTCGTACATTATAAAGGACTGCGGCGTATGATTATAAAACAACACTTAAAGTTTCACCGCATAAGTTTCTTTTCTGTGAAAAATCAATATTTATTTCAAAGAGAAATATTTACTATTTCTAACTTTTTTGGATGAAGTATGAAAGGGTGAAAATATGAAGAGTAATGGCGAACGGAAAAATAAAAGTGTCCAGGGGCGGGAATCGAACCCACAACAATCCGCTTACCGGGCAGATGCCATGTCCACTAGGCTACCCTGGACGTATTTCTCCGTTCGTAAATAATACTTAAAGTTACTTATAATACATTATGAAGGACTGCGGCGTATGATTATAAAACAACACTTAAAGTTTCACCGCATAAGTTTCTTTTCTGTGAAAAATCAATATTTACTTCAAAGAGAAATATTTACTATTTCTAACTTTTTTGGATGAAGTATGATAGGGTGAAAATATGAAGAGTAATGGCGAACGGAAAAATAAAAGTCTCCAGGGGCGGGAATCGAACCCACACAGAAAATAAACTTATGCGGTGAAACTTTAAGTGTTGTTTTATAATCATACGCCGCAGTCCTTTATAATGTATTATAAGTTACTTTAAGTATTATTTACGAACGGAGATATACCTCCAGGGTAGCCTAGTGGACATGGCATCTGCCCGGTAAGCGGAATGTTGTGGGCTCGATTCCCGCCCCTGGACACTTTTATTTTTCCGTTCGCCATTACTCTTCATATTTTCACCCTTTCATACTTCATCCAAAAAAGTTAGAAATAGTAAATATTTCTCTTTGAAATAAATATTGATTTTTCACCGAAAAGAAACTTATGCGGTGAAACTTTAAGTGTTGTTTTAAAATTGATCTGTTAATACACTTTTTGTAGTAGATTCTCTAAATGGGATATTTCAAATCTTCTTTTTACGACTCTCTATTAGCACTCGTTTCCAAAATTAAAGAACAAAACTTTAAAATTTTCAAAAATATGGCTTATATTCTATATGTAATCAATATAGCCCCCCCCCCCCCCCCCGAGAATTTTTAACATGAAAAATATTTAAAATATACATTTCAAATTGAGGGAGTAGGAACTGCAATAACTGTCACAACACCCAACTCACTCCGGACCATATATACGCGGCCATCCTTGCAGCCCTCTATATGGCAGACATCAATCCAGAAGAAGACATCCATACGTACAAGGCACCTCAGTTGGCCGGTATTGTATTCAGGGAGCACGGATCGATCTGATATGCTCCATGGACAATACACCACCACCACCACCACCAAAATAAGGCTGAATATTTACAAGAAATAGGGGTCAATAGGAAATATGGTAAACTATAACATCTATGACGGCTTCAACTTTGACGTTTGTGTGACCACATCCTATAAGACTTCCTCTAAAATGTTAAAGTTTTTAAAAAATACCAGTTGTGATGTGTATAAACAGAGCGGGCGATTATCAAGAAATTGATTTCAAATAGTTTCATAAACCCAGAGTTCAATTATCCAAATGATTTTAACAGTTGAAATATCACATTATTTTACATGTAAGAAATTAAAGCATTAAAGCACGAAAGTTTCTTATAACATAAAACAAACGTCTACTGTCCTTACTGCGTTAAAAAGAAATATTGAGAGGGTTTGGTCCAACAGTGGTGAACCCTCCCAGCGGTTTCACCAATTTAATCTACCAGACCGCTTCTTAGAGCTCTAATACTGTATTGGGCGTTTATGCTTATATATGCTACACTAATGAGTGGAATCTTAGTATTGGTATTCAAGAAAACTAAGGACATAAGCCTTTAGGACAGAAGAAAAGCTAAAAGCCTATCTTCATAGTTTTCTTGAATACCACTTTTGAGATTCCACCCTTCAGTGCAGCATATATAAGCAGAATCGTCCAATACAGTATCATATTGGGCTTAGCACTCATATTGAAACCGCTGAGAGGATTAACCAATGATGAGAGCTAAGCCCTTCCAATTTTTTTACCCCAGTAAAGACAGTAGTAGTTTGTTTCATGTCAAAAAGAAATCTTCTTGCTTCAATGCTATCATTTAATATATATAGATGGCACGTCATCGTCTTATAGATAAATTTACATATGTCGATAAACCAAGAGAGAATCAGCAGTTAGATAATAATACAATACTAAAAACCTGTTATATTTTCCCCGTATTTACATATGAGTTTAGTAGCATATATGATTTGTATATGCTCTGAATAGAGATAAGAGAGCTCATTCATATAAATATAAATCTTTCCTATTGTCTCGAAGAAAAGTTTCAAACCACAGAATGTGATTCAATTAGAATTACAACTAAGACACTCGCTGCTATAAGAAACCTTAAATCGTATAAGTTAACATTTTATATAACCTATTTTGATTTTTACATGTGAAAAATATGGTTGTTGTTATTGTTGTCGTGACCAATGAAAATCCTCAGATGTCCCCATGCATCTCTATCACAGCAGCAGCAATGCCCACTATCTTGGGTGTGTAAAGCTGCTGCTTTGGGTCCATGTCAATTTTCTGCAAGGCTGCGGCCATTGCTGGGCATGAGAATATGTGGGTAGGTGTTAGTTCCACACCAGGACAGTTGTTGCATGTACTATAGGTTCTTGTGCCATAGTGTTTGGGGGGGAGAAGTTCGACCACACCTCCTTTCGGTCCTCCCTGGACCCTTGGAATATTCGACAAAATTCTGGTCCATGGTGACTAACGTGGCAACGTCACCCATTTTCCAATGAAGAGCAAATATTATGGTGGGCTTACAATATAATAACCTTACTAACCCACGATTATGTTCGTTTGTGTCATTAATCCCTTCCAAAATCTTATCCTACAGCCCCAAAGTGGCGGGAGGGTGTAAGAGGGTAGCACAGTACGTCGGGGGTATCAATTGGTAGCGTCTGTTATCCACGGGAGCGGCTAAAAAAGGCGTCTACACTCCATGTCAGGAGACCAAAAGAAGCAAAGTCACACTGAGTGGTACTTCCAGGTCTTCATACCAACAGCACCCCTCTTTCCTTTTCAATGATGTCTTTATCAGTCTCAATCAAGCTGAGACAATGAAACCTAATGAAGAACCAAAAAGAAAACCTAATACATCTTATATCCATTTAAATAATATTTGAAAATACTCTTGAGGTAATTTACACTAATATAGAATAAATTGAAAACAGAATAATACCTTTGACAATATATATTAGTGACATGAAGATATATTCAACCCATATATAAAATAATTGACATTTGATTAATTTTATAAAAACAAAAATCATTATAGCTACATTAAAATTGTCGTGTTTTGTGTTATTATAATAACACGTCTATATTTGAAAATTCGATACTATTATAGAAACGTATGATTTTTTTATTCAAAAGAATCATACGTGTCTATAATAGTTATGAATTTTCATAACAGATGGCGCACTAATGCATCATAATACATCTATGTTATATTAAAATATTATTTTATTCAAGATTATATTTCATAGATTCCAATACTCTGCTAAATCGACCGCCAGAGGTCATGCTTCCCCTATAAAAACTCATTGTTGTTGTTTCCCGATGGCCGACTCAAATCTTTTGTACATTATGTAAATAAGTTTTTCATTTTTTTTATTCTTGCGCCTTAAGCCAGGCAGTATTTTTATCAAATTATGTTTTGCATAATTTCCTTTAGTTCAATAAAAGCAATATATATATTACCGATCAAAACTTTTTTTTATTTATTTTACTTTCAAGATTTTAACCCTGACTGCATTACCATAGCATAATCCTCAAGATAATCAAAATTCAACAGAAGATATTTTTTATAAAATCTATATATAGGAAGCATATCAGCAGGAATGTTTTTTTACACATAAAAGAAACTTCTACTACCCTCATATTGCGATGGTAAAATATGCTATCTTATAAATTAATTAATAATATAAAGCTGTTGAATAATAGTTGAGTATATTCCCTAAACTGATCGCTTATTTATAAGTTAGCTGAAAATGGAGATGGGATCTATTTGCTTTCGACAATTAAGATTCATAATTTTGAATATTGAGTGGCTGGACCATGCATAATTAAGTATTTGTGTGTTTGGCTTCTGTAATTAATTTATGGGACAAGTCTCCATCTGTTGTGGGGGAGATCCCCGGGGGACCATTGATGGAAGCATTCATTAACTTCGATAATTACTTTCTGACTCAGAGAAGGGTTATTGAAATATATATAGGATAGGATTCTCTTATTCACATATGGATACTCCCCATCATATATATTATATATATTCTATTATACAACGCTACGGTGGCCAAAAACACCATAAAGGACTTGGGCCGGGGACTCTTACCCCACTCGCCGTACTCACCAGACTTAGCGCCTTCGGACTACCACCTTTTCACATCTTTAGGACATGTTCTAAAAAACCAGGAATTTTCGAACTCGGACATACTACGAAAATGGCTTGTTGAATGGTTCGACTCAAAAGGATTAGAATTTTTCAGACAAGGAATTCGAAAATTGCCTGAAGGTGGTCCGAATGTATAGGTAATAAGGGCTTTTGTTGTATGGAATTGGTGAACTTTTGAATTGACTGAAAATTTTCGCGTTTCATACTAATAAACCTGGTAGTTTAGGGGAACAAAATTCCGTTATTAAATAAGAACATATTAATCATCTATACGTATCCATACAACAATGAATCCCTTCCAAAAATCTTATCCTACAGCCTCAAAGTGGTGGGAGGCTTTAAACGGGTAGCACATGCGAAGTACGTTGGGAGTTTAACTCCTGGTAGGGCCACCCTGTGCTACCCACCCGGCTAATATAGGAAGGTATCAATTGTTAGCGTCTGTTCTCCATAGAAGCGGCTACAAAGGGCGTCTGCACTCCATGTGAGGAGCGGCCAACCAAAAGAAGCAAATTCACACTGAGTGGTACTTCCAAATCTTCAGACCAACAGCAGGTGCACCCCTCTTTCCTTATCCATTATGTCTACAAAAAGACCTCTGGGAAAATCCCAGAACTATAAAATAAAAGCTGAGACAATATAACTTAATGAAGATCGTTTAAACGACTTGAGGAATAGGCAACAACAACAACACAACAATGAATGGTATTTAGAGAGAGCTTGGCTCATCAGTGGTTAAATTGGCGAACCACAGATTTCAAGGTTCACTATTGTTGAGAGAGCCCACACAAACTTTGAAAACTTCATAAATATTTAAAGGTTTGAGAGAAACTGGCCATAAAGTAGATTAA